AAGTCATGACTGCGAAATATCGTAACGCAAAGTGATTTAGACCATTTATGTTCGAGTTGTCCGTATTTCGATTTGTAGGGCAAAAAGCTCTTGTGGCTAAACGTCCTTAGGTCAGTAGCCCTCCCGGACATAACCCTCGTAGAATAGCCCGACAAAGCCCACTAGAAAAAGCCCTATTTTGCTGTACAACATGCATACTAATATCTCAAGATCATGAAAGCAGATAGTACCTAAGACTCAAGAAGAAGAGACTGCAATATGTGTTAGTATACTGCCGTGACAAAATTCTCAGGAATTTCGGAATGGCGTGGAGCGCAACACTCGTTAATGATGATTGCTGGTGGCACAAAATTCGTGTTGATCGTTGAATGTTCATGAAACGTTGCTATTTGATGTGTGTTGTTGTGGACCAATCTATAAATGTGTTTATTATTTCCGCGATAAAGCATTCCTTGCATTCATGATTCATCCTTACATACACCCGTTGTGATAGTAAAGAAATAAGGCGACATGCTAACCACTGCTGAGTCTATGTATGTGTCTACCTCTACGTCTGTGTATGTGTCTACCTCTACGTCCACTTCTGAGTCTATGTATGTGTCTACCTCTACGTCCACTTCTGGGATTGTGTCTGTGGCTACACCTTGCTATGATTGTGGGGGCGGTAGGGTAGCCTTGTGGTTAAAGCGTTCGCTCGTCACGCCGAAGACCCGGGTTCGATTCTCCATGTGGGCACAATATGTGAAGCCCATTTCTGGTGTCCCACGCTGTGATATTGCTATTGCTAACAGCGGCGTAAAACCACACTCATTCACTACGAGTGTGTCTGTCTGTCTGTCCGTACGTCTGTGGACCGAGGAGCTATTAATGTCGCCAGTCTCAGATTCAGTGTACACGTTGGCTACCGCCTACATACTTCGACATTCACATGCTTCCATTGAGTCTCTTATCTTGTGTGAACTCGGTCAGGAACATTACACGCTAGGTCAAGTACATGTACTTACAGTGGCACTTGTGCATCATAATCTTATAACATCGCGCTAAGCCCATGTAGTAATCTTCACCATAGAACCCTGGACTATGAACACAGCCACTTGGGTAAATATATGGCACAACATATGAAAACAGTGTAAGTCGACATTACGGACTAAAAGAAGAACACAAATACCGTGGACTTTCTGGAAGCTTTTTCAGTGAAACATATAAAAACAATATTATATGATTAACCATTTGCTCGTTCGCCGCACTCAGTAATATTCCAGCTATAAAGAGGCGGTCTGTAAATAATCCCGCCAGGACCAGACAATCCAGTGATCAACAGCATGGGCGTCGATCTACGCATTTGGTATACGGTGACGAGTCAAGCCATCGAGCCTGACTACCCGATCCCGTTAGTCCCTTCTTACGACAAACATGGGTTGCTGAAGACCAATTCTAACCCGGATCTTCACGGGTCTAATCATTTACTTATTACTTACGTTGTTACCCCTGCCTTTCTTGTCTATACACGAAGGGAAGTTAACAAACTCTAAACCTAAGTATGATGGACTGTGTTGAAGGAGATCGGTGATGTACGATAAGTACCCCAGGCACGTTTCTGTATACAGATACGTACCCTACCCTGCAGTCAGTATACATGAACGTACTCGGTACCCTAAGCGGCGGACGAGTCCATATTCCGCAACCCAAAACTGACACTGTAAGTAGTTGTTCCCGTTACCGTGTATGCTCGTCTGTTATGTAACGCAATCAAATGCAGTAATTGTATTCAGAAACAGACGTTCATCCAACTTGGGCCAACGGGGTTTTCTTTGCCGACGTTTGACAGACGTTGCCCCAACGTCAGAATGCTACCTTGGGTGTGACAACGTCAGGCCACAACGTTGTCACAACATAGATAGGAGTCCACAGAATGACGTTGAGTTGACGTACTATCATAACGTTCCCACATCGTAAAATGCAACGTCACGACAACGCAAAATACAACGTTGGCACAACGTACTTATAACGTTCCCATAACACTGTGACGACGTGAAATGACGCATCATAGCGTTACGTCACAACGTTGTGACAACATAAATGGAGTCCACAGAATAACGCGGTGTGGGATTAATATCATAACGCATTAACACCACAACCATATTAACGTTGTGACAACGTGAAATTGTTAGCTGGGATGACAGTTGACCAAACCATCTGTAGTACATGTACCCGTGCCGACAACGACCCTACAGTGGCTGCAGGGTGGTGCACAGGTGCACTTACCCAGTGGAACAGCAATCCTTCAGTTTTCCACAACGTTTAGCCTTGATGTTCTTACGCTGATACCTAAGTGATTAGTATAATGTTGGTCGTTGATGGTCTAACTCCTCAGTATGTCGTCCACCAGTCCTTTGGAATTCCAGAAAAAACGGCACCATTTTCTTGTCACACTGGTGAGACAGAGACCTCGGACCCAAGCGATTTGTAACGCTCAGTTCATTCTTCAGAATGTACTCAACTCACGACATAAGGGGCGTAGTGTAGTGATTTTTGGCTCGTCACGCCAAAGATCTGGGTTCGATTCCCCATATGGGTACAGTATGAATAGCTCATTTCTTATGTTTCGAAGCCCTGATATTGCTGGGATATTGCTGTAAGTAGCATAAACCACGATACAAGTCGCATAAGAAATGGTAGAGTGTTTTCTGTTTTTGTTTATCGTAAATAGGACAATATTAACAGAATGCACATCACAGCGTTCCCGTCACTGCCATTTCTTACATTACGAGGGGCGGTGGGGTAGCCTAGTTGTAAATGCGTTCGCTCGTCACGCCAGGTTCGATTCCCAATTGGGTACAATGTGTGAAGCCCATTTCTGGTGTCCCCCGCCGTGATATTGCTGGAATATTGCTAAATCCGACGTTAAACTAAAGTCACTCACTCTCGCGAGATATGCGTACCGTATTTGCTACGTCGATCATCCACCATCATACGATATACTAGCTTCCCCAGTAGTGGAAGGGTAGGGGTTTCCCGATCTGTGATAAACTTCCCCCTATAAACTCCGCTGCCGATCACTTAACAGTGACTGGGCAAGGAGCATCCTCACCTAAATTGGACTCCGTGGGCACATGGATGGCTGTTGGTATTAAAATGTGTGATGACATCATGTTAGCTAATTTTGTTGATTTCCTCCAACTCAGATTACCTAGTCACCTAGTTGCCAGCAGCAATATCTGCATTGTTATGCATCTGGTGCACGTGCCGCGGTAACCATGGACATATTGTCATACATACAAACTGTGAAGGGAGTAGTTACGTCTCAAACTCACCCACGTTTCGTATTGTATAACTTTTCAAATCCAGTGAAACACAGACTTCTTCCATTATCGTGATTGATAACAAAACACAGTATTCCTCTGATAGGTAGCATGTGTCAGTGTGTACAATAGGCTCTGAATCACAATATTAACACGGAAAAACTGGACAAAGTTTTACCAATATTTTATGACATGATATGTTATTGAAAACTGGAAATATTACAGACTAATTGACCACGTTCCACTATCTTAAACCCGCTAAGGGTCACTTTGATAACGAGCATCGGACATAATCCGGGACCAGTATCTCTAAAGCTAATAGAACCAAGGTGCAGTATCTGTATTGTATGGTTACATCCCGTGGTCAAATCCCCTGCCACATATACCTTCGTGGTATACTCGCGACTGGCCATCGATGCTTTGGTTCAACTGAATGACATAATCTCACGTTCACAATAACAGCGTTGTCGTAGGTTTTATCTGTAGACGCGATTATCTGCGATAGCTGGAATAAATATCTAATACGGATGACAGTCACAAATCATTGGGTGGCTGTCCAGTAAATTCACTCAGGTAAGAAACCTTACTGTCTTCTACGTTGTAAAAATCTCCATGCTTTTTGTTTTGAGACTTTGTTTAGTTTATCGTACTTAAACTATATGTTACAGCACTTGGCACTACCCCAGGTTGATGTGGAACGAGATCATCCTTCCATATATTTCTGTATTACTGTTTAGGATTATTTATTTAATACTGATTAACACTACGCTGTCTTGTGACTTTTATAGGTTATTTAAAGTGTGTCGGGTACCCTGTTACGGTTTATGGACACGAAGTCGACATTTTGAAATTTCGCTATGGACACGAAGTCGACCTGCGGCTAACTTTGATGTCGAAGGTGTTGTTAGAGTCACGCTAATCCGCCAGTGGGTGTTGTTTTAAGATTGTCGATAACTTGGGCGAGCAAATGCACAGTTGATACCTGTGTGTTGGTGGCTTTATGTACCGTGTGAATAAGAGGAAGCGAGAGTGGATATCTTGGAAGTGCACAGAAAAGAACTGTAACTCCACTGCGTCAACCGTCAATGACATAGTGACGAAGGTGAAAGGCGTCCATAGTCATCCCAATGTCGAAGTAGACATGAAGGTAAGCATTTTCTCAATGCCTAATATCAATATGTTACAAAGAAAAATATAAATGTAAAATAAATATATCTGATCCGAACCATGTTTTGCATACAGTAATTTACATTTGATATTTGTTCACAGGTGAAGGAAACCCTTGATAACTTGAAAGTGAAAGCAGCATCCACTCTCGCCCCGATGCCTTCCCTTTATGAAGAAGAAATAGGCAGTTTAAGAAAAGGTTCCTGGACTGAGGACACCAAAGCCCTAGTTTCATCAATGCCAACATTTGATAGTAGCAGGAACCCTTCTCTACCGTGCCAGAAGAGCCGTCCTGCCTCGACTTCCCAGCAGACGAGACGACCTTGTCATCCCAGAAGATTTCCAGAAGACCGAATCTGGTGAGGATTTCCTCCTGGTAGACGATGGAACTGCCAAGCGCATCCTCGGCTTTACCACATCCGACAACCTTCATCATCTAAGTGCGGCTGAGACGATCTTTTGCGATGGAACATTCTACGTGACACCTGGAATTTTTCACCAACTGTACACGATCCATGCCATGATTGATGGACACATGTTCCCCTCGTGTTTTTCTTTTTACCAGATAAGAGAGAGGAAACATACACGAGAATGTTCAGACTTTTGTGCGATGCCTGCGTGACGAGAGGCTATTTGATGGAACCGCAAAAGATTCAGGTAATACTACCATATAATAGATTTATGAAAAATTCTAACAATTTCTACATAGCAGTTGAGTGTTGTAAAATGCTTATTTATAAAATGAATTAAGAATCAACTTTGATTATCTTTCAGATGGACTATGAAATCGCCGCACGGAATGCCTCTGCAACTGTCTTCCCCCAAGCAGAATGGAAAGGTTGTTTTTTCATTACACCCAGTGTATATGGAGGAAAACCCAACAGCATCAACTGCAGACGGCATACAGTGAAAATGCTGTGCTGCCACTGATACCAGTCCACGAGGTATGTATTAAAATATGTGTAATAAAGATTTTGCAAAATTACAATTACTAAAAACAATATGTAGATATATCATGCATGGTATTAATCAATTTTTTCTATATCTAAAGGTTGAGGAGCTGTGGCTGGACACATTAGCAGCCATGCCCGACGACCCATGATGCCGAGACATCAGTGACTACATCACCAGCTACTGGATCGAGGGTGACCTCCATAAACCATAGTGAAACCACCATGATTCTGATGGCCCCCGCACCAACAACCATTTAGAAGGGTGGCACTCTCGTCTCAAGAGATTGGTGGGGAAGGCGCACCCCAATATCTTTGAAATGATCAAGTTTCTTGCAAAGGAGCAGACTCACACTGAAGTCCGCCTGTTGCAGTTCGGCGGTGGACAAAAACGTCCCTTGAAGAAAAAGAAGTACAGGGATTTGGAACGTCGCCTGGACGTCCTAAAACATGATCTTAGGAATGGCCTCATCAACACCAGAGATTTTGCAGATGCTGCATCTCACCTGCTTCATGTGGGATGATTTCGAATCAGAAATAAAATGGACGAAATATAATGATTTTCTCCTGTTGTCTGTGCTTTCAACCGCATAATCCGGATTATCACCTTGTGTAAACACTGGATTATCTCTGTCTTTTTTAATCCCCTGTTGATTGGTATAATGTCAAATGGATATATTACATTTCGATAGAAAATGGACCTCGTCTTCAACTGCACTATTCTTACAATATTTACATAGCCGTTGTTCAAGAGGAGTTTTATGCCGTGAAACGTATCCAATCCGTTAAGGCCATAATGAGAACAAACCACATGTACTCATGTGATCACCAGCTTTGCCGCAATTGTTTCTTACTCATATCCCCCAAATACGCTTTGTGTTAGTGTTGAATGTTAGGATATATACGACAAACATGCACAATGCGACAGTACAACAACAACAACAAGAAAAACCGCTAGAATGTCTAAAAATATGTCTTCATATTTTGAAACTCTTCTAATAAATACATATGATAACGTTCAGAACACCAGCACGTACAGTCACGTGGGTGAGTTGAGTTTTACGCAATATTCCAGCAATACCACGGCGGGCTGGGGGTGACACCAGAAATGGCCTTCCCATGTGGGGAATCGAACACGGGTCTTCGGCGTGACGAGCGTACTTTAACCACTAGGCTACCCTACCGCGCTTCAGTCACGATTGAAACAGACAGGGGGAGGAAAATACCATTAACTGAAACATAGTGTGACATAGGTCATGAATTTCACTCTGTTTTAGGTGTCAGCCATTTGAATGATGAGGAAGCAACACATTCATAAATACAGTTACTTTAACCCCGCCATGTGTGGAATGAACTTACTTTTCAATCGCCGAAGATCAGAAACATCAAGAAACATATGTACGTAATGTAAAATAATAATAATAAGTCATCTTCTTTAGCGCACAGTCTCCAACCACCAAGTGATTGCTCAGAATCTGATTCTTAGGTAACCCCCCATTTCCCCTACATGCCACTACCCCTACAGCTTATAACAACATAGTTTACGGTCTGTTGCACTGTTAATCCACTGCCTGTTACCTATTCCACACTATGGACTAATCCACTTAAGAGACATAACAACACACAACTAAAAGGTTGAGAGAATGATTTTAATGAAAAGTGATCATCATTTGTCATCATCAAGATTTTAATAAGAATTAACAATAATTCGTCATCATGATTCTTTGATGGACATTAACAATTAATTGTTAACATTCAATGTTAACATAGTCATTTGTGTCAAGTGTTTCAGTCTATTAACATTCAGTGTTTCAATCTATCCCAGCTTAAGCAGATAGCCGATGGCGTCCAAGAACTGAAGAGGTGATTTCTGTCCAAGCTCAAGCTGCTCCTTGTGTCTACACAGGCGATTGTCAATCTCCCTGAAGACTCGCTTTCTGCTTCTTGTCGCAGCACCAAAGTCTATTTGTGAAATCTTCACCCTCTCAGCATGTTCAATTCTTATTACCCCGGATAACTCAAGCAGCCTGTTAGGCGCTAGAAGGTTATAGTCACATGACTTTATCCAACCTGGTACCCATTTTCTGCTGGGTGATCAGAGGCAATTTGGAACAAACTCACTTGCGTAAGGTGAGACCACATGTATCACATGTGCTTCGTTGTGGGGCAAGACTGAAGTCCTAGAAACTCTCAGGAGTCAAGCAACACGGTCACCCATCCAAGGACTGTCCGAGCTCGACGTTGGTTAACTTCAACTGATTCGTGACCTGAGCTCTGTTCACAGGACCACACGCCACTACATGATAATCGTGATAAAGGTCAAACCTGGAAGAACAGGAGCTGATATATTTGTGTATACATTTTCAGATGTATTTTATATCTGATCCGACTGCTTAGACAAGATGGTAATAAACATGTAGTATCGTTTCCATACACGTATGATTTTGTACACTCTCATTGTATGAATTGCACCTCTAATGTTGCTTCTAGAGACCTGAGGGTGACACTGTTCAGTACAGTTCAGTTCGTCTATTATACCCTCGTGTAAAACAACAGTTTTATTTGTTTCAGAGCGCGATTCGTTGAATAAATGCCATATTGTAACGGAAACTATTATTGTAATTTGTTAGGGCCTTAAGACCCGTGAAGAATTGATCTTCAGTAACCCATGCTTGTCGTAAGAGGCGACTAACGGGATCGGGTGGTCAGGCTCGCTGACTTGGTTGACACATGTCATCGTATCCCAATTGCGTAGATCGATGCTCATGCTGTTGATCACTGGATTGTGTGGTCCATACTCGATTATTTACAGACCGCCGCCATATAGCTGGAATATTGCTGAGTGAGGCGTAAAACTACACTCACTCACCGTCAGGGCCTTAAATACTTGGCACTTACATCATTCTGCATACAGAAAACTACGTCTTTAACAAACACGCTTAAAACGAACTGACGGATATAACGAACTGTGTCTTTTGTCCTGGACACTTTCTGTATATGTTAGTCCAACTACGGCTATAACGAACTAAAATTAGCTGTCCCTTTGAGTTGGTTATAGTTTACTGTATTTCCAAAGGATTCATTTTACACAGCCATTACAGTAAGGTAAATACGGTAACAGTCAGTCCTCATTTTCTATACAAATAATATAGCAAGGCGTAAGGAGGGGGTGTCAGTCGAGTCACAAGGGACGGAAATAGTGTAACTGATAGGCCTAACAATAACTTTAAGCCCTAATTTAAATTCCGCGTTGACGTGGCTGTTGTTTAACACAGGTATGAATCTGCGACCATCGTGTCGTCTCGCAAAGCCGGTAAGGTCAGACAGTAGGAGCCTGATCACTCAAGGGAAATCTGATGATGAGATATTTTACAGCTAATTCGCGCCCTCTTTTGACTAACGTCGTGACATGGAGTGCGTTCTGCAATATCTCAGCCTCAATTGTCATCAAAACTAGTTAAGTCGAAATTGTTTTGTTTGAAGATTACGTGTTTTATTCTCTCTTCAAAGAAGATTTCTATTAAGTCACGATTAAGTCATTACATTATCCAACACATTAATACAGTCATAGCGCAGGTGGTGTGATTATTGTGTACATCGACCATACCGTTTTGCGACAAGCTGTAGAACGGGTGAGAAATGACTTAAGAGAACTAAACATCACCTAAAGAGAACTAACCATCACCTAAAGAGAACTAAACATCACCTAAAGAGAACTAAACATCACCTATAGAGAACTAAACATCACCTAAAGAGAACTAAACATCACCTAAAGAGAACTAAACATCACCTAAACATCACCTAAAGAGAACTAAACATCACCTATAGAGAACTAAACATCACCTAAAGAGAACTAAACATCACCTAAAGAGAACTAAACATCACGGGACAAGATGGTGCACTCGTACTCCCAATGACACCGACGTATATAATATTTTGAATGATAAGGTATACACGACCAGATGACATATAATTATAAACTGTATAACTCTATCCAATCGTCCATTACTATACCTTCGCCACTATTCATGCTGTTAACGCCAGCAGTATGCCAGGTACATGACGGCCGTCTAGAAATAATCGAGCTGAACAAATCGAATGGTTGATATTATGTGCAGCGATCAACGCTATCAGCCCACGGTAACACCCAGTCAACCTAGTCTGACCACCAGGTCCATTTGGTCCATTACGACCACCATAGGTTGCCCGAGACCAGTTCTATGTCGGAATCTCTATGGGCGGTACCATTATTTTGTCCTATATGACAATGTATATATTTAGTCATGCTTTACTCCTTGTATTCTCATATTCACGTAGAGAATAAAGCATAAGTGAGTGAGTATGGTTTTACCCCGCTCTCACCACTGTTCCAGCAACATCAGTAACACCAGAAATGGGCTTTCCACAATGTATCAATGTGAGAAAGCAAACCCGTGTTTTCGGTGTGATGAGCCGTCACCAGTGTGAATAGATAGGGTGTGAGTGAGTTTAGTTTTACGCCACAAAATAGTACAGCTATATGGCGGTGTGAAGAGATGGAGCATATGCAGACAGGGAACATATGAAAAGAAAGAAGTATATGAATAGATAGAACACATGAATGCACAGCATATATGAGCATAAAGAACACATGGCTAGACAAAAACATAAAAATGAACAGTACTGTATATAAAACATGAAATTAACACGACAGCTGCGAGGGTACTTTGCTCGAATTAATAAAGTGACGTGTTTTACCTGCACAGATTGGAATGTGTTGTCAGGATAATATAAGCAACACATAACATACAAAACATATGAACAGATGCAAACAAAATGAATATAATCGATAGCGTGAAAATAAACGGAACAACAGAAGGATAAATAACTAAATGTTGCGCTGAACAGAACAATGATACATGGGTAGATGCGTTGCCTGGTGGATTGAATGAAAATGCACAGCTTGCTAACTGTGTAACAATGGTCGGTTGTTTAGCTGTTGCATTGTGTTTTACCACCGACGGTGCAGAAAAAACTGCGATGAGCTGATTGATGTAGATAAAACATCACAAAACAGACATTTTCACATTCACAATTATATTCAATATGCCATCTTTCTGTCAGTTTAGATGACAGTTGAAATGGTTTTATTGCCCATCACCACCCACGACCTCTTTATACCATATCCGGTTGTCCTCATGGCTTTGTCTAGCAGCCACCGTGCACACCAGAA